GGACCACCACATAATTTATAGGAATTTTATATAACTCCCAACCTGTTAGATGTCCAGCATGTGGAGTTCAAGGTCTCTAAAACCAATGATTGAATTCCAGGAACAACAGAGTTTACGAGCATGAATTATTTATTTATTTATTTATTTATTTTGGGGGGTGGGTACTGGGGATCGAACTCCCCACCTTGTATTTGTGAGGCAGGCAGCAGAATCACTAAGCTAAATCCCTGGCCCCCATGAAGAATTTATTAAAGATAGCTTTTGGGGGCCGGGGATTTAATTCAGTGGTTCGGTGGCCTGCCTTGCAAGCGCAAGGACCTGAGTTCAATCCCTGGTACCAAAAATAAATAAATAAATAAAATAAAAATAAAAGATAGCTTCTGCCTAAGAGAGATAGAAGGGGTCCTGACTTCCCACGGGAGTTTCATAGAGCAAAACCATGAGATGCAGTGGGTCCTTAACCACCCTATGGTGGGACAAAACTATAGGCAACCAATAAGATTAAAAGTATAATCACATAGGTAATTATTGATCTAATGGAAAATCACAAGATAGATATAAAATGGGACAAAACTATAATCAAACACCCTGCCTTGCAAGCACAAGGACCAGAGTTCGATCCCTGGTACAAAAAAACAAACAAATAAACAAAAACCTATGACCAAACAATAAGATTACAAGTATAGTCACTTAATAGGTAATAGGTAATATTGATTAAATGGGGATCAAGCATACATGGACCAAACAAGGACTTTTCCTGGAAGGGATGAGTTAAGGTCTTGGTCCCCCACCCAGGTGATTGATGCCCATTTAGAATATTAATCACTGCTATTCATCCCTAGAGGAAGTACGTGCCTTTAGTCAATTCTCTTCCTTTTGAACCCTTCAAGGACTGTGCCTCCAGCCAGTTGTCTACTGACTTCTTGAGGGCCCAGCCCTGTCTGCCTATAATATTTCTGACTAATTTAGCTGTCTACAATACTGCTACAACCTCAACTTTACACTCCCTTGAAATTTCTTCCACCAGATTAATTTGTCTGCAGCCTTAATCTCAATCTTACACAGAGGTCTCAGGAAAGGAACAAAATGCCATATCATAATACATATTACCTGGAGTCCAACTGCCAATGGAGTCCTTCTTCCCAACTGAAAATTTTTTTTTTTTTTTTTTTTTGGTATCAGGGATTGAATTCGGGTCCTTGCGTTTGCGAAGCAGGCACTGGAACCACTGAGCTAAATCCCTGGCCCCCAACTGAAAATTCTTGAACCTGATCTATATTATTGCCAACATTCTGGTCTTCTGAGCTTCAACAAGAATCTCCTATCAAGCTTGGCTCACAGCATTCCAGGGTCTCTTCCTCAGTTGGCTTCTCCAAACCTTCCCAAATTCCTTCCACAAGCCAGTTCAAAAGGCTCTGAACCACACGGTTAGGTGGCATCCCAACAACGACCCCACTTCTCTGGTAAAAAAAATCTATCAGTCCCTGTTCACTAGAGAAATAGATTTAATGTAAGAAGGATCCAGTCAAAAGTTGAAGGCCTGGAGCTCACTGCAGAGTCTCAGGTGAGTCTGTATCAGGAAGCCTAAGGGTCTGCACTGCCAGGCTAAAGAGTCTGCACTGGAAACCTAGAGGCAGACTTTCAAAGGCAGTGGCAAAGACTGGAGCGCCTCTGAAGAAAGAGAGGTGAGGCTTCCCTTTTGTTTTCCTTTTTATCCTATCCAGGCTACAAGTTGATATGGCTTGTATCTAGATATCTCCCCAAAGCCTCATGTGCTCACAGGTGGGGCTTTTGGGAAGTGACTGGATCTTGAGTCTTTCATACTCATCACTGGTTAGTCCACTGATGGATTGATAGCTGAGTGTGATATTTGGAGAGAGAGCCGGGTGGGAAGAGGTGAGTCACTGTGGGCACCACAGTTAACCTCACAAACAGGAAGTGACAGAACCAGAGAGGGAGTGGGTGGTGGGGAAAACCAGACTGATGGCAGTACCCGGCTGTGAGAACCAGCATCACTGGTTGAAGAGGAAGCTGTGGAGAGATGTAAATACCACAAGGCTAATGCCGCCAGATAAAATTTCGCAATTTGCTGACTGGGTACGTGGAGGCCAGGGAAGAATTGCTGGGGGTATTCAAGGTCGGTGGACCTTAACATAGTCGTTTTATTGTCTTTTCTAGTCCTGAGGATGGCAAGAAGGAAGTCTGAGAAGTGTTTCAATATAGCCAAGGCCTAGGGCCTGTGTCTACTAAGTGTGCTGATTCCCAAGCTACGGTATGGCTGAATGAAACAGAAAACGGCAAATTGAAAAGAGCCTAAGCTTTAGAGTCATTTGACACTGCCTTTGAATTCTGGCTGTTTCTGACCAGCAATGAGATGGTGAGCAAGTAACCAAGCATCTTTTGCAAGATCAAGGGCTCCTAGAAAGTAGAAGTTTGGAGGAAATAATAAATATGGCATTGAAATATGCTTTTTAACAAACAATAGCAAATAGTAAAAAGTCTGAAAAACAACTGCTTTGAACAAAGCCAACTGTTAAACTGAAAGCTTTGTTTATGTCACCTACTGCCTAGGAAGCTGGCCGTAGGGGAAGATTATCCCTCAAGTCTTATAAATACAATTTGTCAATCAGTAATTTCTGATTTAAAATACAAGTATTTTCAACATATGCTATTTGTTGTCTTTTTGCTCTTTCATTTCAGCTTCATAAGTCTTTTTTGTTTGTTTGTTTGTTTTGAGGCAGGGTCTCAAAATGTAGTTGAGACTGACCTGGAACTCACTATGTAGCTCAGGCTGGTCTCGAACTCACAGTGATCCTACCTGCCTCAGCCTCCCGAGTGCTGGGATTACAGTTGTGTGCCACCACGCCCAGCTTTATGTCTTTTCTTTTTAAATTTTATGTATTGGAGGGCCAGGGATTTAGCTCAGTGGTTCTGCTGCCTGCCTTGCAAGTGCAAGATCTCCAAGTTCGATCCCTGGTACAAAAAAAAATTATGTATTGGTTTGGCTTGGCTTTGGTCAGTTTCATAAGTCTTTGCAACTGTCTGGTATTTCTTAAAGTATTAGGGTGCTTCAGAGCCTTATTTTGGGGGGCTTGGGCTTATATGCAACCATCTGCACCTTACTCAATACTTTCCCACTGTGGGAACAGTGAACAATTGAAGATGTTGGGTTAACTAATAAAATTTATTTAGTAATTTTACATCAAAATCTCCATTAACATGCAATGATTAGCAAGTTACTTTTTTTTGGTACCGGGGATCAAACTTGGGACCTTGAGCTTGCCAGTCAGGTGGCGGCATCACTGAGCTAAACCCTCGGCCCAGCAAGTTACTAAGAGTATGGATTATAGAGCCAGGCTACATTTCTACATTTTGGAAGGTTTGAATACAGGCTTCAATATTTCCTTGAGACTTCCTATTTGTGGGACCTGGGGAGAGGCGTTCTCTCACCTCCCCCTTCCAACCCAAGGCCTCTGGAACACTAAGCACACACTCTAAGCTACATTCCCATTTTTTTTTTTTTTTTGATGCCAGGGATTGAACTCCCGACCTTGTGCTTGCAAGGCAAGCAGCAGAATCACTGAACTAAATCCCCAGCCCTTATTGTTGTTTTTTAAAACAGGGTCTCGCTATGTAGCCAAGGCTAGCCTCGAACTCAAGGCAATCCTCCTGCCTCAGCCTCCCTAATGCTGGGATTACAGGTGTGCTCCACCATGCCTGGCAACACCAATATTTTATTTTGGACACTGAATTTAAGGTCTCATGCTTGCACTCTTACCACTGAGCTGCACCCACAACCCTCCAGCTCACCATTGGACCAGCAGTTCAGATTGCAGGGTGATAAGCTAGTCTCCCTCACTCTTCCTTCATCCCTTAGATGGATTCATGGCTTGGTTGCTCTGAAGGGGTAATGATGGCGTTATTAATCATAGTAGTAGTAATCCTTTTCACAGTTGTCAGTTTGTAAAAGCCCTGGAGGGTGAATTTTAAGAAATCAGATTGGCCCTTTCCTCCTTCTGGAAGGGAGGGAGGAGACACCCTCTTGTTGGGTTTGAAAATACTCCAGAGTCTTCTATTGGCTGTTTGTTTCCTTTGAGAAAGTTCTGGCAGCCTCATTGCCTTTTATGTTTAAGTTTAGTTTTTTTTTTTTTTTTTTTTTTTTTTTTTTTTGTACCAGGGATTGAACTCAGGACCTTGCACTTGCAAAGCAGGCGGCAGAACTACTGAGCTAACTCCCCAGCCAGTTTTTTTTTTTTTTTTACATTTTTAAATGTCTTTATTCATTTATATAGTAAATATTGTCCCCACTTTAAAAATGTCTGTCAAGCTTAACTAAAAAATTCAAATATTTCTTTTCTTCATCATGTACTGACACGATACAGAATATAAATGTCAATTTAATAGATATTATTAAATAATTTAATACATATGCAGAACATTGGATAAATGATTAAAATTACAGGCCAATATTAAAGATGAACACGTAGATTTTTCATGTAGTTTAGAGTGTTTGACACCAGCCAAGGGCAGACCTAGCATACATTTTTTTAATCTTTCTGTTTATATATTAGGTTTTTTTAAATTGAGTTTATTGGTACATTTTAGGTATACAGTACAGTTACACTCATTACTGGGATCTTGTACCTTTACATGACAGGTCCTAGCATACATTTTTGTAGTTGCTGAAGAACCCCGCCTCTGGAGCGTAGCAGAATTTTCATTGGTCCCAGCGCTCTTTCTCCGCCTGTCATTACTCGCGACTGCCCTGGCACCGCCCCTCGCTCACCTTCGGGTCAGTCCCTTTCCCTGCAACTCCCCGGTGGGGGTGAGAACTCCTAGATCCCCGGATCTTATTGCTCCCGCGCGGCGCGCCCCCGGGCTAGAGCAGCGGGGCTGTCCGGAGCTCGGGCGGGT